CTAGGACATGGTCGCCTTTGGAAAAATATGGCGTCAAATAGGTAACGTGGTGCAGTAGTGGGTTTATTAAGCAAATTGGCGTTACTGCAAACTGGCTTAGGTGAAACTTTATTTCATAAAAAAAAATAGTCCTGCTCATCCAGAGTCTATGGACGCGCTTGCTATTCTAAACTTCGGTACCCATGAATCATTCTGGGTCCTGTTTGGGCATCTACCGTCCTCTCAAAAGTTTACGACTTTGTAATCAAGTGAAGTGAATGCCTTTTTGGTTCGACGAGTATTCTCATTTAAAAAATGCTTTTCTGCCTTCTCGGTTATGTTTTTTATTTGATCCTTGATCCCCATTAACTGACAATATCGGCACGCCACGGTCTCACTGTCATTAGGCGTTGATTCCCGTCGATACACTTCCCTTCCGACGAGGCGTTAAGATGCGTAAATGACAAAGCCGTGTGCAGGGTGTTCTATCGTTGCCTTCAGCGCTTTCTATTGCATGACCTATTGTTCAGTCACTTATTCAATTCTGTCTGTGTCCTGTGTGTCTCGTCTAACCCCTAACAGAGCAGCATTGTGTCAACCATCAGACTGGTACCGCGGCCACCATACGGACGCTATACTATAGCGATGTACTTCAACATGAAGTGGTCTCGAACCTGCGCCGCCTGAATGAGCCTGCCTGACTCTCCAGCACTGCCATAACACAAGAGGTGTTGACGATCGTCGAGCCAAGCTGTTACACCGCGTTTGTTCCCCATTGAAATGTGGTTTAAATTCAGCGGGAGACGGCGTCACTTCGAAATGGCGCTATTAAACTCACCCATAAGGTCCTAAATTCATCTAACGTTTAGATTAATCAACAAAGGTGTATTGCAGGTACGCAATACCGACTTCAGGCACTACTCACGATATATAACACATATGATATCGGCGAGACACATGCAAGCACTATCTGCATTGTCAATTCTTCACAGTCACGGCCAAGGCAGTCTTCAACTTTCTCTCTGTCCCCGTTCTCCTAAAGTGGTTACCGAACGTCACAGGCAACCTCATATGAAGCAGATTCCTGCATTTCGTTAGACCTGCTTGTCTTCAGTGCACCACCTCCTTCAGTATTCTCTGCTGTCTGCCGGATAGCTGTACTACAGAGAAGTAGGGGGTACAGCTCTTCAAAATCAAGCTACTTCGTTTACCAGAATGGAGCGAAGTAACCTTTCTGCAAGTAACAATGCCGACTGACTCTCTCGATTTAATGATGAGGCGAGGCACCCCACGGCGCGGCTAGAAAAGCTAAAGACGTTAGGATGAGGGGAGAAAGGAAACAGCCCTTAGATTTTCTGAAGTTTCTTTCCTTGTTTATACAATAGTCCGACGGCAGCGAGAGAGCCTGAATAATACATGGCAATGGCGAAATATGCTGCAATAGCGAGCAATTGCATCCTCGCTCTATTCAATGTTGCCTCGATGTCCGATTGCTGCGTTGTTATCGCGGAATTACTATGTCCATATCTGTACGAACGTTCTAAGAACTCGTAGGGACGACCAAGTCTGCCGGGCCCTGCTAGAGTTTTACAATATTTCTATCAGTTTTTTGCACGGCCCATCCAGGTTGACAGTATCTCGGACCCAAATAAATCGAATATCGTAGGCGATAGGGAAAATGACGAAGAGGATCTTCTGGCGAAAGGACCCAACCTGCCCAGACTCTCGTAAAAAAAAGCATGATGAAGAAAGTGATCATCTGGATAAAACGGACGTGCCGATGAGCTTTGGTAATTAACGAGAAAAAAGCACATATTCTGGCAACGGCTGAGGAGATCGATGGCCATCGGTCATTTCAAGTAACCTCGGGATTAGAGCACCGAACGTCCACGTGTCTTGTCAGTTGTCTCATAGCAGAATCTGTGCACTACAATTATCCCAATTATCACAAGAAATAAATGTGGTCCAATTAAAATTATGACTTACTTAGAAAGGTATGCTAAAACCTTATGTTATGTTAGAGGTCCTTTAATTTGTTTGGTATCTACAGTTAGTAGCAGATGGAAGTAATGAACCTCATATTAATAGAAAGCACCCTGTGATAATATAATGCAAGTTTTTTAATAGAACAATTTTATTTAAAGTTTTATGGTTTTGTGCGTCAAAGATAACTTTCTTCGTAGATGTAAAAAATATGACTGTCCTAATTCGTAAATTCGTTTTAACGTTTAAGTAGACAATAGTCTGGTTTTCGTAAATCGTTAAAATTCAAGTAACACAGAAGAAGTACAATTCCAGTTAGTCATGTAGCATCAAAATGTCTACCTTGGATCGGCACGTATCAGATGATATGTTTTTTCAGTATCTCTCAATTTAAATCAAATTGTTAACCTCAAGGTTATAATAAAACGAGAAGCTCCGGTTTCTAAGACCATTTTCCGTCGGTACATTTCAAAGTAGGTTCAGGTTTTTAAGCAAAACAGTTGCTTGTATACCTCAGTTCACCAACGCGCGACCCATCCAAAGAGCGCTGAAGATAACCAGGGTTTCGATTACGGAGAATGTAATTGGCAAGCCCCCTATTACGCTGCAACTTAAACCTTTTCTCAGTGTCCGGCATCAGACCGAACGTAAACTCGACGTTTTCTATTCTTCTCGCTTCCAACTTATAACCTAATAGTATCCAGTAGAGTTGTTGTCTTCTCAAGTGCAGCCTATTTTCGTATGATGACCTGATTCTTCTACTTGAATCGGCAGCTCCGTGGGGTACCGGGTAGTGCCGCCGCGGGTGTCGCGCACGGTGCACTCGACTTGTCTCGATCATCTTCTATGCCGGGTATCGAGCTAAGGACTAGCAAAGAGCAGCATCCGGCCGAACCAAACGCGAGGCCTTTGGCATAACGTATTCTGAATTGATGTGTGAAGTAATAAATATGAGTGTATAATAGCGATCGTCGCGGCGACAGCAGCAGATTTGCCTGAAAACAAAAAGCAGTCACAATACTGTTTGTCGTTAACATCAGCCAGCCTCGGGAGAGACTCGGAGGTCTGCAACTTTTTTAAGAGTTAGACGAACGCAACAAAATTCTGTTTTTTTAAATAAATTTTTAGTGCGCTTTTCGGCCCTGGTGGACCGAGGTGAGTTGTGTACCCATCCGATAACTGAGGTATACACATATATTAAAACAGTACAGAACACAGAAACGTTTCAAGTAGGACGGAGCAATATTTATGAAGAAGCTCTGACGTTTTGTTTTCCACTTTACACTGAATTTTCTAAACCTCATATAATTGAATAGTGCACAGTAAGGTATTACGCCTTCAACTACACATTTACATTGAACCCTTCAAGAGCCCGGCAGACTCGGCAGATAGCGATCCTAAGCGACTATATAAAGTATATATTTAATATTGTTCTATAGTGTATAGATATTGCTTTTTAACTGTATAATTTTTACACGTCGAACACCTTAAATTCAGTGAGTTTTTTTCTTAGAATACGAATTTTTCTGCTCATACTCATATACGCTTATATCGAGTAAGGCCGGTGTCTATCCTCAGCAAAGACATCACGTAGCAATAAAATGCAACAGTCAGCTCACAAATATATGAGCATGTACCTTTATTAAACTACTATTTTAACGAATGTTATTTTCGTGACTCGTTGTATTGTGTAGCACACGTTCGTCAATGTGAAGGCTAGGTGTGACAGATACGCACGCGTCAAACGTACTAGAAACCCAGACCAATTTGATTGACAACTTATCAAAAATGGGGCCATAGTATGGTGTTGTCTCCCTGCGATAGACCGCGATGAATCGTCAAACGGATATGAACATGCCCAGCTTGTTTCGCCTCTTTTACCACAAAAAACCGATAGCGGTAGTTTTTTGGAAGCAGCATCGTCGCAAACGAGATCGCTTGCGCCAGACAACATTTTCAAGGACCTTTGAAGAACTCCTGCTTGGTACATAAGCTGGTGTTGACCAGAATTCGAATTTCTACGTGGGGTTGATTTGTTTGCGAAGAAAAGTAGCGCTGCTGCCAACGAAACTAATATGCCCTTCAGACCGACCTCTCAATATTGTTCATCTGATTGCAATATGTCGAGAAGGACAGCTGCAAGGTCAAGTATTAAAGCTAATTCGCCAAGCAAGCGAGGACTTAGATTGTAATATAATAACCTAGTTACGAGTAAACTGTTGCTTTACTCTGCACATAATAGCAATAATGATGATAATTATGCACCTCGATAAGCAAATCATACAAAACTCTACTAATCGGTTGGTTTTTGCAGTCTACGGAATTATGTGCTATCCCGATTCAATGAGAATAGGTCCGAACAGCCTACTATTTCGCAGTTACGACCAATTACTCGAGCACAGAATGCCCCATGATGAACCAGTTCGCAGCGTGAAGCATATATTAGCCCCGGCGCTGGTTTTGGCAAAAATAACCAGGTATGACAGGTCACCGAAGGATTTTGATGCTTCTCTAAAGCAATTAGCAAACATTTTTCCATGCCTTCACGTGCTTTCTGTCATCGTTGGCCTGGTTAGGGTCTTAGGCAGTGGTCGGCGTTTGTGAAAGGCCCACGAGCACGCGGTTTACCATTTAAAGTTTCCAAAAACTTGAGCGTTTCACGCCAATACCTTTGTACATTCGTTAGTGTTCCTGTGGTAATTGTCGAGTGAAACTATTCGCATGCTTGACGTATCAGTTGAATTCATACGAGCGTAGCTTGAAGGAGGCTAGGCAAAACTCTGGTTAGAACACTAATGTCGATTTTGCCGCAGCCGCCTCGCTTTATCTAGCTTGCTTGACTACAAAGAGGCACGCCGAAAGGTGGCACCTTATCAATACAAGTTACCAGATATGTATTTACAACATACATTTCATATTGAAAATTAATCTTTTTTTTTAAAAATTTTTTTTTATAAATGGCGCCTGTATACATGACGGGAACTGCATCAGCGAAGATTAAGAACCATACATCTATCGCGCCAAATGATAACGAGATGGGTTTCAAGGCGTTTAAACCTGTTATTTCTCTCTAAGGGCGTCAGAATTGTCCATTAGCGACAACGACGCATCGTCTCGGCTTAAAATTTAATCCGTAAAAATTTTACGTACGTAGATCTTGCCTAGCTAGAATTGTTTATCAGTTCGCTATGGTTGTGTCTAATCGATACTCTCAAGTAATCTATCTCCGGATCGGGATTCTTATTTGGTTAGCGTCTTCGTGACGTTCAGCATCTAATGCCGGTAACGACGCCAGTCGTAGCACCAGATCTTGTATAACAGGGAGTGACAGGCCAACGGAAAAAAATTGAGTTATGAAGGTAAGCACGTCTAAACATATATTTTTCTTTGTCGGTGCCGCATTAATGTTAGTTCTTTGATTTTCTACCATTTGGCAGTCTGGCGTCAGCCTAACAGCAAGTGCCATGCGTACTTCGACATTTGATTTTCAGGACGTTCGAGATTCTTCGTTTGTTTTATACTTCGTTACGTTAGTTACTTAATTGCCTAATTACGTTACATTCATACTTTCATAGGGGCAAGGCAAATGAACAATTCGTGCTTGTCAATATTTGACTAGGCGTATTTAGTGCGCACAGCTAGGGCGGACGTTTATTTAATATGTCTTAGGATGCCCTTTCGCAGACTAGAGTCTCTGCCATCAGCGCTAAGCACAGCATCGTCATCGTTTAACCAGACAGATCAATGTACGTCTGCCCGGCTTATATACCATCTATCCGAAGTGACGAATATGGATACACACAGCGAAGTCTGATACGTTTATCAGCAGTCGAATTTAAACAGTGGAAAGAACAAGATAGAAACACATATCGACTGCGTCTCCGGAGGAAGTACACATGAACTTTGGGTTTTGGTCAGATTAGGATAAAGGTGATCGGTTGTCTTGTAATCGTAAACATCTGGGAACTTCAATTGAAGGTAATAAGCTGAAGGCTGATCTGGTCTATAGGCGTTTGGAAACAAGGCTAAGAATAGTATTCCAGCGACTTTTCCCTCGACAGAGGTCGACATGTCAACTCTGTTTCCTATATTGAGTTGTTTGTCATGATGTTCGTTTGAGTATCCAGTCCAGCGGCAAGTCTAGTCAGGCATTGCAGTTAGTCGTACTGATAAATGCGCCAATTACAATAAGACAAACGCCTGTAGAAAGATAGACAAGAACCGATGGAACTCAAAAGCTGCCTTTCATTAATCGCGCGTTCGCTCGCAAAATCGAATGTTGTTATATCTAGGTCCATGTGTCCAGCCAATCTTGAGCATAATCACGGCGTACGTATGTGGACATATACTACGTACCTACATCTGTGCCTTTACCTTAATTAGTTCAGTGCAGTTTTCGTCTCGAAGGGTTGATGGCCTAGAAGTTCATGTCAAATCAGTGGAGAACTCGTCATGCGAAGAGGCTGCTGTACAGCCGAAGTAGTACACAGCACTATGATTATCAACAACAATAGCCGAAAGATCGTTCCTGCGGTTATTACCATGCTGGCTCACTGACAACCAGCCGCCTAAACAGTTCCTTTAATAAGGGTAGCTTCGTTGCCCACACAAATCGTCCAGGCTCCTTCGGGAGGACAAAACCATACAGAAACGCCGTGACGAGTAGTATATAAGGCTGCTATAACTGGAAATGCATTATCCGCAACGGGTAAACGGCTACAAACAGCTTTCAGCACGCAAAGAACACCAATGGGCAAGTCAGCTGTATATATGGTATTACCCGCCGTTAAAAGCGTTAGCCCCACTTAGGCTCATCCGATCGACCCTGGCCAAGAAACGGCGTAGATCATTCTACCTTTCTTGCGCCCTCCGTCGTACATGCGATGTCGGGCAAATCGCGCGAAAGACACGGCCAAGAAACGCCAAAGAGAGACTGAAATAGGGCGATAGGGTCAGGGGAGGCAGAAAACAAAGACGAAAGAAGACCCATAGAGCTGCGAAACGCAGAGGACTTGACTACAGCGAAAACTGATCCAACCCAGAGATTCACTCTCGCTAACCAGTCGGTACGTCATCACATGTAGAATGAGGCTATGTAGATAGATGCCCTACCAGCGCTTTCATGATCGCAGTCAAGGGGACAGTCGTTAGTAGGCAGGACCCTGACAAAGCACCAATGGTATATGTAAAAGCCCAGAGAAGGAAGAATCAACGGACGTAGCGACCCAGTTCAGCTTTGTCGTAATCGTTGTCTATATTAGTTGCTGCCGCTGCTGTTATTCTGATCCTCGCTGTCTTGTCGGCCGCTGTGGTTTTTTCCTTAACGTCTACTCAACGTTGGCTAACAGAATTTTAGAAAGGCAGACGGCCGACGCTTGGTTCAGTTTACTGTCGCTAGATAATGCTGTTGTTATTAATGCTTCTGATGAGGAAGACGCCTATGTATGGATGTATTGATTAAGGTCGAATGCTTTTACGCAGGTTCAGGAAAATGTCGAGTCGGCGCGGTCAACGTACGCAGACAATGTTGCTGGGTGATCGTACGGAGTAGCAAACAAACAGAGCATTTGATCAAAAAAAGAAATCAAGACAGATAGATTCCGGAGTTGCAGGAATGCACGAATCAAGTGGATCCGGTGAATGTCGTGAGCGCTGCGGAAGTGAGAGCATGGCTTGGAAATTTAATGCCGATGAAAGTGCGACGCACGACGACGAGACAGATCAAGTAATATTCAAACGGGAAGCGCTGAAGTAGGGCACAGGAGAGTAGAACGGTTGAACACTATAAATAGTAGCAGCACTGAACAATAGCTCTTCTGCGGACGGAAAGAACACTAAGTCTCACTTTCCCCCACCGTTGGACAACGACTGCGTTGCTCAGACGCCGGGTCGTTTTAGGGTCTTGAGTTACTTCATTTAGAGAGAAGCATTACGGGTGCTTCCAGGAAGCGTCCACCTACAGCTCATATCGGAGCTCTGAAACGTACGCATACGTGCTCCTTGAACGTTGCAGCGGATAACTAGGATTACATTATAAAGGTATGTCACCAAGCACCAGAAGGTGGATCCTACTGACGTTGCTGTTGTTAGCGCCGCTGTGACACGTCATAGTTTATAGTCTAATCTACATGCCGTCTATAGTTTTATATAACCTCGGTCATTACGGCTCCATATGCCTAGAGGACCAACGACGAAACACCAGTCAAACTAAACCTATAATGGCGTTAAATATGGCCTTCGAAATAGAGATCTTTATAGCGACGGAACACACGAAATTTGACTCAGACTATTAGCTTCTTTTTCCTCTGCTCTGTTAGACGAAAAAGCCTAGAGAGACGATGGGGGAAAAAGGGCGTCTAACAGACAGGCTAAGCAAAACACAAATAATGACGTCGTTTCGGGACGAAACGATAATAATAACAACAACAACAATCATGGTGACGACGATAATGGAAGCAACCAGATTAGCTGGCTGGGGTCAGTGTCGTATTCTGTTCCTGTTTGTCAAAAACCTATGTCAATCGACTACAGAAGTAGAAATGGTGCGGCAAAGGCAGATCAAGAAGGAAATGGAAAGAGGAAAACGGAACATGGGAACAAAGAGCAAAACTCGCAAAAAACAAGCAGAATTGCAACTAGTGTATATCTATATGACGCATATTTCTGATGTGGTTAGCTATTAGGGCATGTGAAGGTATTCGTGATTGCTATCGTACACGGTAACAACTGCTGGCGGTTGGAGAAGCCACAGCAACGGAAGGACAATGAACAAGGATGCCTAAATACAGGGTATTATATGTGTCATGTTTGTGTTTTCCTAGCTAACCTTCAGTTTTTGAATTGCTTGGAATCTGATAGTACGGAAGTGATGAGGTGCGCGCAGAGTGACAAAATTTCCAAATGCTTGCCTCCAGTTTTATATATCATTGTCTCATTACTGTGAAAGCATTTGCTTATGAGAAGGACCTCCGTAGGATTATTTTGTGCGAATGTCGATCATTTCAAGACATAGCACGCGAGTCTTCACTTGTAAACCAATCACTACTACATAGTTCATATCTATATAGTCACTTTTTATCTGTGTGTCTACGATTATATAACTTACATGTCATGTTTTCACACATGTAAGCTTTATACACAGAATTACAGCCTAGTACATTATTGAAGAAATGCATCGAACAGTTAGAGCAGGCTTGATGCTTGATCTAATGCTGCTAGCCGCTCTGTAGAAATATCGTCCTCTGTATTATTGTCGTCGGTCTACGATAGAATGAAAATAACTGAGTAAAACTTGTTCAGAAAAACTCTACGTGTCGAATAGGCATTTAAAAGTCTGCTCAACGTGCACTTGTAATACGAGCTGAATCTTTAATCATTTAGCAGGTATTTGCGTGGCCTGTTTTAGGCCTGATAGAAATGCTATATTTTATAGATTGGGTATCGCTAAGCCTTTCTAGATCTAAATTGCTATCGGAGAATACCTGAACGAAAAGATAACGAGCAATAAAAAAATAATCAGCATCTCGTAGGTGTGCCGTAGGTCCAGTAATCGTCAAATCGTATATTTGATTTTCACAATTTTCCAACACATATTCGATATACAATTCAGGATGGAGAAATAAAAATATAGTGTTTTTTAATAACAAGTAAGTAAGTCATAATCACGACGCTTTCTCGAGCGACTAATTCTGATAAAATAACACGACTGATTCCATTAGAATTCTGAAGGAAATCTCGTACAGATTGCTCTGTTTCATTGATGATGATAATAACGTTATTGAGCGAATGCTTCGTTTTAGGATAAAGATTAGCGAGGTACCATCTTGTAATAATCAGCATATTGAAACGACTACGTTATAATATAATATAATAATACCCTCGTTGCGGTTCAACGAAGGTTTATGTTACCTACGGAATCCGTTAAACTAGCATAAATAATTAGATTTGTCTTATACCGCCATTAATCGCATTTTATCTAGAGAAACCTTTTATTATATTCGTATTCATATATATATATAAAGCTAGATTGAGTTGTTTAAATACTCCCCGTATGTAAGCGATATGCTTTGGACCTTTGAGCTAGAAGTTTAGCTTAGGTTCTGATGGGAATATGATTGTTTCGAACGGAAAAGTTCTTCTATAGTAGTGTTTCTTCTAATACAAATAACTACACAACTCAACCGGATAAACAGGACGATTGTGTAGTAGTTAATATTGTTGGTGTCAAAGAATAGCCGGCAGAAACGTTTTTATAGGGAAAATAATTGAACTTGAATTCGTATCATATACATAATATCATTTAATTGAAACAGTAAAAACATTGTCATGATTCTTCCTGCTTTCAGTAAAAATTCATAGAAGAAAAAAAAAAACGAGAAATGTATGTTTACCCTCTTGCAAACATGAAACGCCATGGTAAATAAGCTGGGATTATTAAGATTCCTTCGTTAGATACGCAATACACGCCTACAGGTCTTGCCCATCTATCTACATGCGCCTCAAATCGTACACTTCAATTTGTTTTTATATTTACTTACAGTGATAGTAAGCATTTAAGGCAACTATGTACCTTTGTCCTGTAATACAGCTGGATAGATCAAAATTTTCGATCAATCTAGATTTATTACTAAAAATAAATTCCGTTCAGCGGGAACATTTCTTGTGGATAATCGCTCATTAACTCTTAATCTATTGCTAAGAACGTCGACGACATAACTAAGTAGATCACCTATATTTACATATATGAGATATACGAAGCCAGGGATGGACGTACAGGCACGCATGTAGGTATTATTAACTGTTAATCAGGGAGTTTGTAATATATGTTACACATATAAGTAAAAGCAATGACGGTCGTTCTGATGAATGATTCTGCATACGTTATTTATTTTTGTAGAGAAGCTGTTCTCGAGGCCTAGTCGAGAAACATTTTACTCATAAAATAGTCAGCCTTGTATCAAAATTTAGCTAATTAGACATTCTTGTGAAAAATGGTCTTCACTAGGTACTTCAAACGACTCCCTGCATTTCCCAGAAGTAGTTCGACAGTTGAGGTTTCCTTTGGATCTTTATAGACAAAAATGAAGAAAATTAGTTTATCGTAGAAGCAACCAATTTCGAGTAGAATTTTCTCATTATCTATTTGAAAAATAAGTCTCCACTACATATCATAAAAATTTTAGTTAATTAGATTATGGTTTAACTAGTGACCGATCGCTGACGCCCTCGCCCCCCCCCCCCCCCCCCCCCCCCCCCCTATTTCGTCAAAATAATAATTTCAAATTGTCAAAATAATAAGTAAATAAATAAACTAAATAAAATAAGTAAATAAAATAACAATGATTCAAACTATCGAGTATAGGTTTTGTAATTTACATAGCCCGTATCTATTATAGCTTTGTTCTATATCTCTTGTGTGCACCTGGTGACCGATTTTAAAATCTTACGATCATCCACGAGACGTTTAAATCAACGAGATTAATGTGGTACTCGATTGTGTCGATGGGTGATCGTATTGTGCCCAATAATTTAGTGCACACATCGTTCCGATGTCGTTAAAACATGTCGTAAAAAAACAATATTCAGTTGACTCCTGTGATATATGCATGGGCGACTGGCATGAAAAGGACAGAATTTTTAAAAATCTAAATATATAGCCGCTCAGAACTCCAGTGTTCATTAGTGTTAGAAATGGAACATAGCAATGAGCAATAATATTACTTCTACAAAGTCTTCTAAACTGCTACAGAGAAGACAAATCCGTTTGAATTTACAAATCCGCCCAAAAAGCGAACCATGAGTCCCAAAAAGACCTCTTTAAAGAACTGAGTTAACCCTTCTAGGCGAACACAGGTTTCGTAGCTTGTGAGCAACTTTATGCTATGCAATCTATTATGACTTCATTTTAACTCAACGCACACACGTTTGTTACTCGAAAACATACACAGTTAGTTAAGGGAATTCGTATAGAAAAAAAATGTATAGGCCTTTTTGCGTTTCAGATAAGGTGAACCGTACAATTTTTTAATGAACTTAAGCCTACATTGGTTTAACACACCAAATCATCACATAGTTCCGTTCGTCTCCAACATGTATGTTGGGTGTTTATTACGGTGTATATATCTGAGCAATTGTGCACATCTACTACTCTCAAATTTCCACTCGAATGCCACCGACGTCAATGTAACTTAACGTTGGCTAAAATATGTGAGTTCCAAACCACCTAGCTAGAAAAACTATCGATCACTCCTCACTATATATATATTTCGACCACTATACATATATATATATAGGGGAAAATGGGCTGAGATTGTACACTTTCTTAAAGAAGGACCCATAAAACAGCGAAAATATACTGATCAAAACTCAGAGTAGTATCGTTTGGCCATAATGTGACTATCACCGTATTAAAATACATAGACATAAATTATTCCTAAGTTAAATTTTGAAAAAATGATAAAGCGTCTTCACCCAGCTCAGCGTTCGTGTGAGTTAAGACACCGTTTGAGATAAGCTGACCGTAACAGTGAGAGTATGGAATTGAACCCAGTCGCTGGAATTGAACCCAGTCGCTGGAATTGAACCCAGTCGCTGGAATTGAACCCAGTCGCTGGAATTGAACCCAGTCGCTAAGAAAACAAACGTTATGTCGTGTATCTAGAAATGTTCGCTTCGTTTATAATGTTGACTGTTACACAGAACAACATGACTAGCGGCTGTAGGAATGACTGGTCCAAATCTTTAACTACAAATGTTTCGACTTGCTGCCACGCCAATTTCTTGACAGATTTTACATTTAAAAAAAGAGCCTACGAATTAGACAAATCAACATGTGCATACCATCGCAGATTATAATAGAACAACACGTTGTTCGATAGTTATTATCCATACACTTAAGTCACGCTATATTCTCAGGTAACAGGTAAATAACAATTAGATAATAATTCATGGCGAATAGAAGACAACACATTTACATGTCCTTGAAGATCAATCGGTGATCTTGACTCGGTGTTACTCTATCGCCTTATAGCTTCTGGCAACCACGTTGCACCTCGATGGCCGTTCAACTCAAAACCTGCTTCATCTAAGTCCACTCTTCCTTATATGAACATATTATATCTTGTATAGCTACTACTTCGCATCAATAAAACATACAGTGCAGCCATGTTACCGATGGTGACAAACGCTTCTGTCCCAAAAATCGCCATAGTCAGCCATTGGATTTCGTCAGGCAACCCTCTCTCCTAACAACCGCATGCCGGCAGCTGCGAAAGCTCTCTAAATTAGTCAAGTCGTCGAACTATCGATTGACAACAAACAAAAATGATGTGACAGTTTTCTTTAATATGATCCTATTTGACGCGCGGCTTTCAATCGACCTTTGCTACTTCGCTGTTTTAGCTGCCTCAGCACCACAGCTCATATCAATAGTGCTATAGAGAGTGCCGAGCTGATATGGACTCGTCGTTTAAGCCCTTTCCCCATGCTGTGTCGTTATGAAGTCTCCTCTCTTGATGTTTTGTGTCAGTCGGTTTATATCATTCTGGCCGCTGCATCTACCATCATCCAGCTGCCATGTCGCTAGGGAAGTAAGCACGAATTACCAAGCTTTTAAAAAAGGCAAATCAACAAGGAAGCAAGCGAAAATTCCGCAAATACAGTTATTTCGTCATTGACAAAATGGCGACCCCGAGTCGCCCAACAAGATAGAGATTTAGGATAAGCGCCGATGCTGTGATGTGCCTTGCTGACCGTGTTTGTATACAAACGTCTTGTTATTAATATGCAGGTAACCTAACGAAATTACGTTACAAGTTTTCAATGTTCACAGACGTTCGTTATGGCAAGTAATGGATAGTAGTTTTCGAATTAACAGGAAAACAGTAAATGCTTATACGTGTATAAACTAAAAAGTTTTTTAATTCTCTATCATTCGGGATCACTCGTGTAGCTTGTTATTCGACTGAGTTTAAGATTCGTTTGATCCTTTCTGCAAATAACTTTCAGTGTCCTCAATACGGTGCTAGTGGTAATGCGTTCCGGCTAGCCATTGATTAGCAATAAACGACGGCCATATATGAGATCACGTTAATGACCACGACGAAAAAACGCTCTTTCAAATGGTAACTATAACAGAACTCACTCTTTGTTTTATGAAGCTAAAGTCACTACAACCCGGTAGTGTACGTACGATATCATGGTTCTGCAGGAACTCGACAGAAAGCAATAAGTAATCCTATCAAATGAGTAAATCCGCAAAAGAGCAGTCCCCTGCTTGTTCTTACGATATGCGTGGTATTACAGCAACCCTTCCCGTAACCCAAAGAAACGCACAAAATATGGCTGGTACGAGTGGGGCTCAAGCTTATCTTGTAGCAATTGACGGCATTTCTCGACGTTCCGATAGAGGTATCTCCCACGAATCCCGCTCGCATATAAGTGGTTTAAACAGTTCGTCTAGCGGGACTCAGATCAACTTCTCCAGATTGCCTTTACCATCCTCACCACCTGTAGCTATGATGGACTGCGATAAGACAAGAACGGAGTTAAACGATTTGCGTTTGAATTTTCTCGGGGAAAAGCAGCGTGGACTAGTCGCCGTTCGACCAATAGTTTACAGTTCTGAAAAGAACCCGTTTAGTGTAAAAATAAACATGGAAGATATCATGCAACGCAACCGCGCATTACTGCAGCAGGAGCGAGCAAGGGGACGGCCTTTGCTCGAGCCGAGACAGAAGAATTCTCCAGGTTTGACGCAGTATTTAGTCGATGGTGCGAGCGCCGTCATGGATTACGTTGCAGCTGCGCGTCCCAGTTCGGATTTTCGAAACTGTTCCTTCGTAAACAAGGCAGAGGAAGAAGACCAAACCCTCTGTCGACATGAGACTGACCTTGTCTACCCTGGTGAATTAACCACAGGGCACTGTTATGAAAGTTGTCGTTCGATAACAACTAAGGTTACTACGAGAATCCCACAAGATATCGTCGCTAGTCCAGCGGACAAATCATTATCAAATAGCGATTTGTGGGGGCCGGACAAACAAGCATTAATTAGCGGTTACGCGAACGGTGAGGTGGCAGATTCAACTAATGGTTCAACGAAAGAAACAAATATGCTAGGCTTTAGATATTTGAAAAATGTTAACATCGAGCATAAAGATATCAATCCTCACCATGGATTCGCCAAATGCCCTGCTTGTGATAGCAATTCTATGCAGGAAGTTATGGTGAAAAATTGTTGCAAGCATCGATTTTGTAAGTCCTGTCTGCATACAGCTGCTGAAAACGCAGGAAGTATTTCTATCATGTACTGTGAGAAAGACTGTGAGGCTCGCCTTCGGGAAGTCGAAATGCATGCATTACTACCGGATGAAACGTGCCAACCTGCGAAAAATTCCCCTGAGACTGCAACGTCTATTCACCGCCTTCAAATTACACCAGCGCCGTTACTGTCAATGTCTCATACCGCGCGACAGCCCTGCGCTGTTTATAATTATGAGGACCCTCTACTAATTCAAGCGCTTGTGGATGACGAGCCTGTATTGTTGACCATCGGTAACACGGCCTGCAACTGTTGCACTGCTCAAATAGAATCGATGAAGGGTATTGTCTTCAAAGGATGTCGACACACCCAATGCAAAGACTGTTTTATAAATCTAAGTCTTAAAGCCAAACGGTGCGCAGTAGGTAGCTGCAATGGTCTAATCAGCGAGGATGAAGCTCAAGGCTTTCTTAAGTACACTAAAATTCCATATCGAAAGCGTAAGGACCAGGACAAGATGGCAAGAGAGTTTAAAACCGTTGAACCTAGAAGAAATAAAAATAACAAAAAGTGTGGCAATAAATGACAGACGACTTGCAACAACAAAACTAAGGATATTGCTTAAGCTGTGCATGCTACAACTACTATGTGCGTCATTCCATCTGAGTTTGATCAGATACAGCGTATCACGCCTACGTAAGCATCACTGATAGCCAAGCGGGCTATGTGAGCGAATGAAGAAAAAAATATCCCGGAAAAGGGAAAAAATATACCGAAGAACTGTCTTAGAGGAGCATGATTAGGTTCTTTAGAACTTCGGCCTACTTTCAATGATGTAGTGCAGCTATACAGGTCATGCAGCCTTACAGCGTTGAAATATGTGCACCTATCCGCATCAGTGTAGCCTTTTTCCCCTAAACAAATAATGATGAAATTTGGACGTTATAAGGTACATACGCCATTTTTTTGATCATATGTTTGTTTTTTTTGTAAATCTCGTGCGTCGATTTCAAAAGCCTCAACCAAAAAGCAAAAAAAGACGACGTTATTAAAACTCGTCTAAAGTTTGTTGTTATTTATTTCGTACCCGCATACATAGGAGCGAATACGTCCCAGAGAATAGTTAATGTAAAGAAGAAAATGAAAGGAAAGATAACTTGAGAGTATTTTAGCGACAACATTTATGTCGATCGGATAATAGATATTAATAGATAAACACAAAAGTTAATAGACTTAAAAATACTATCGCAGAAGAGCTACCAGAGCTAAGGTTATCGTTTAAAAACATATTACAATGCAATGTACGTAATATCGTATTAAGATCCGGTCACCTCTAGCGCAAGTAGGATCTATCTAAATGGGGGTGCTTTTGTCACAACGGCGTGCCCCATAACCCATATATACTTTTTACAGTAACACTGAAAAGCTGGGACCGTAACATATAGAATTAAACATGCGTTGACTCAGGTCTATTAATAAAGTTGGCTTTTTTTTTTTTCTATTAAAGCTACTTCACGTGTTTTAATTCCCGTAGCGTTCGCTAGAAAGGGCTGTTGTAAGACGTTTTAAGCATGTAGCGGGAAGGCTTGATCTAGTAGTAAAAATAAAGTTCAGCCTTCGGACACATGTATCGCACGATGGGAGTAAAAATATGATAAGAAATTTAACTAAAAAATACAAGACGTATAAAAATAGTATAGTCACTTCTACAAGTTGTCAATAAACAAATAAATAAATTGTTAAACAGTGCTGGGGCACACAGTAACAAAAAGAGTGTTCTGCTTGTTTCTGCCGACAATAGTTAGGCCACCCTAGAGTCGCCTTATAGACAAAATACATTTAGATTTTGCTAAAAGGACACAAATACATTCGTTAATTTGACTGGCGCTGTACGAATCCTGCGGAGTCACCATCCTTATATGTCTCGTAACATCCTCGTAATACAATTTATGCTGTTCAGAGATTAGTGTATATATAAGTAAGATTAGATATATATATATATAAGTGCTTTGCCGCAACTTATATTGAGCTAAATAGTGATGAACTTTTACTCATAAAGGGGCTTCAGCGTGGACTGTTAAACTGGCCGTTTATGGTAAGTGTACAATATCTGTAATATATATACTATATACAGGGTCTATGTTGATGAAAACAAACGCAGAGTTCAATAAACAGGAGTTTTTCTGTTGCGCAATATAGTTACGTGCAGAAACGATTCGGAGTGATTTCGCTACAGCCAAAAAGTATTAAACACCCAAAGGTACTCCAATGTTTCGGTGGCTCGATGATGGAAAGTCGTTAGTACAATCTGAATTAATAAATAAAAAATTAGGGCTACATTTTCTGTATAGACGGTTTAAAGGGTTTCATATTCTGTACGTAGACAGTTAAATATGGCAAAGCCGCCATTGGCTACTTTAATGGGGTCAATCAATGTTTGGGTTTATGGGCATAAGTGGCTGTTCCGCGGCTGATTGTTTTAGAATAACCTAAATCATTACTATGATCGACAGAATAAAACAATATGAGTGAAATTTCATTCCGAACTCTCATGGAATCAATTGTGATAAGATTAATTAGTCTATCAATATAAGTCGCTCATGAAGTTGACTGAAGTAATTGAGCTACCACTATTTTACTGAACTAAAGAATATCTCTTTGTTTTAAATAAGCATAGTCCTATAGGTATTATGTTTAGCCAAAAACGATCAACAATAGGATTTTACGACTACTGAGAACCGCAGGAACTAATAGCAGTACACAGAGTTACGAAATTCTTGTGAGTTCAGCTATAGTCCGAGCGATTTTTAGAAGTACAGAATGCGATACGGCTTAGTGATACTCAATCTATAAAACGCTATATTTATCTAATATCTACAACACTAGTTAAACTGAATTTAGCTTGCTAAAATACGTCACGTATTGTGCCAACGAGACGTCAATCGCAAAGCTGATATATGAATAGAACAATTGTGACATACATAGTTGCTGACAATAATATATTCTCTGTAAAACTTCCTAGCATAGCCAGTTCCTTCCTACTCAGTAGCGGAAATCTAAACAGCGTCGGATTCACTTGCAGACGATTATGTGCGTACCACGTTCGTTCATTAATCGACAGTCCCATCTTTCCCTTACCATCGATTAATAACAAGTTATACCTGTTAGCTCCAAACAGCCTAAGTCTTAACCACTCGTGTCCTGGCTGTCACATTGCGTTCATATTTATCGGATATGCATCCCTCTCACTTACTTAGCCCTTCTATTCGTCATGCATCTTAACATTTGTTCGTGAACTGTTCGGTATTGAGCTGTATGTCCCGGTTCAGTGTTTTGAGTGCGACTTCGGATCAGATGCAGCTTTGATGAAACGACGAAATGAATGACCATAGAGGAAGTAGCAAAAGATCCGCGGCAGTTCCTTTACGACGCCGCCCAACTCCGCGAACCATTGCCGGCGCCACCCACAGGTGCAGTGGACGTAAACTAGCATGGACATCTTCCCAAATCGTTTGTGCCTGCCAAGAGCCACCTCTAAGTAGTTCTAATCTATCCAACAGCCCACAAGCTACTCGTGTAGAACAACCGGATAATGCGATTTCATCAGGTAGTAGCGAGTTCACTCAAAAGTTCGCGGAAATGTTACTCGCGAATCAGCTCAATCTACCGAGTACTTCATCGAACCTGCAAGAAATTCTACAGTTTAATAACAAAAGTCACGTGTCGGCTACAAAAACTTTATTGGGTGCAGTTTATACTGGCTTAAATGCTGTTTGTGACATCGCGTCCCACGTGTGGACTAACTATGTTGGAAAAGGGATTAACCTTTTTGCAGACCCTGTCCAGGGTTCCAAAACGGAAAACGACAATAAGCGCCCTACAATTTCGTCCTGCTCGCTTTTTAAGCAAGTGTCTAGTAGGCCTGAGCAGATGAGAAGGTAATTTTATCTCTCTATAACGGGTCATTTTAATGTACGTAGTATGTAGATTTTTTAAAAAAAAAGCGTGCTCCAGTTTTTTTTCAAGGGCACTGTTAATATCGTAGTAAATGCTCTGATTGTCTTGCTATACCTTCGTCCGTAAGCGAATCTTTTTAGGAAAGTGGTACAATAATATATACAGGACTTTGGCCTATGTTTATAAAAAGCTTTTCTCGTTTGCAAAAGGCGTTCGCTTCCGTTATTGCCATTAAGACAGGTCTTCAGGTCCTGTAACTGCTCCACACACGTTCGCAAGACAAATGCATACGTCTAATGTAAATACGCGGCATTTGGCTAAAAACTGTGGCATTTTCTTTCATTTGTTTATGCTGCTCATGTTTACATTCAGATTGACCGAAGATCTTGTGTCGACTACGTCGTTTAAAAATACCACCGCTGATGAGGAGGCCGCTACTGCATTCAAAGCCGGAGCTCCTCATAACCAGACGTATGAGCTCATGTCAACGACGTCCCACGGTCAGGTCCAGGAGGTTATAGATGAATTTCGACCCGTTCGACAGATCAAACATGCGGCGGGTCCAGCAACCGCTCATAGCAGTGAATTCAAAATGTGCGCCCCAACGAAGCACAGCATTTCTTTGACGCACACTTCCGAAGATCTGAGAGACATTGAGAAAGCACGAGTAACTACAACTATTAATAGAAGAGAACTGGACAGAACTTTCATCGAAGGCCAAAACCTGACTGGTTTACAAGAGCTCGAGGCAAAAGTTGCTAGTACGTCGAGCTATCCGCGCTGCAGTATACCATTTTGCAAAGCAGCTTTGTTAGGACCAGGGCCTTTTACCAACGTAATTTGCTATAAGCATGCACTATGTAACGAGTGTTTAGATTTAACCATCGACTACCTGAGATTGTATGGGAAAATTTCCTGTGCCATTATGGGTTGCGAGGTTATTGTCACCGAGCACACAGTAGCTACCAGGCCCGATTTGCTGTCACTTGTTCGTAGATCGCGCAGACCTTTGCAACGAAATCTTAATTCGAAAATCAATCCAGTAAGGACTGACTCAGCATTGTCAGCTGCTACTCTCGCTGAAAAACGGTTACAGGATCTTCGTCGCGTTCGCCGCTATCCAAATAATAAACGCCTATGGAGTCGTATGATCTATAGAACATGTGATATGTGCCAAAGAGACTCAATTTGGGTGGAGATTTGCATATTAGAGAACTGCGTCCATGTGATCTGTTCGATTTGCTACTATAACAGATACACTCGTCGGCAACCTCTAGCTAGGTGTCCAGCTACCTACTGTACAATGGCTGTACTGTCTCAGGATGGAATTGAAGATTCGAACAAAACTAATTCGTACCACAGCGCTTTCGTAAACGGGTCCCAAACGTACCCTAACGGAAGTGCTCTCACTGCCGGGTTTTCAACTCGTACTAAAACGTACCGTACCGCTGATTCCGATCTACCCCCAAAAAGTTGCGATTTATGCAAGAGATTATTTGCATCAACCCTGTCTGAAGCTTTCGTTGTATCACGATGCTACCACGGTTTTTGTGACTACTGCGCTTCATACAAGATCTACCGACTAAATTCAAATGTGTGCCCGTTTCCTGCCTGTAGAACGAAGCTGTCGTATGACGATTTTGGTCGTTTTTGTACATTTATTGAAAGAATACATTTTGAGTTTGCTCGAAGAACAAAGGGAGTAGAAAGGTGATGTTAAAAAGTACTTAAAATTATCATATATAAAAATGTAGATAACATAATAGTATTCTCGACCCGAAATGGGATTTTATTATGTATAGACGTAAACCGCAAGATGGCCCTTTTAGCCTTAGGCCTGCTTAAATGTTTTAATTTTTATTGTTTAATGATTTGTACATTAAGTGAATAAAATAACATGATCTCCTTTATTCTGTAGAATCGTTCTAGCAGTGTCTTCCTTGCTGTTTTTGTAACGTGCTCATAAGAGTAGTCGTTTCGGATAACGCCTGCTATCAAATTAGCAAATAAATCTATGATTCTATTCACCCGTTCGAGTCACACGCAGTGAGCTAACAGTCAGAGGTTCAAGTCTTAGTGTGACAGTAATTGTGTGCATATTGTATGCAGCCGTAATTAAAAAGACTAAACGAATTAACAGTCTTCAGTGCAAAGACCTTTTGAGTGAACTTCGTTTGTGCAGGATGAGCGGGGTCCTCCTTGAGATTCCTAGTTGCTCAGCAGGTTGTCCTTCGCGATCAAAAGCGATACTCTAGAAAAAGGCGAAAAAATGGGACAAATACGGAAAAACTTGAGGCAGCTTCAGTGTCGACCAAGATATATATTCGCTATATGTACAGCGTAAATAATCAGACCGAGCTCAAAGTTGTTTCGCTTATAGGATAATGCAGCTATTATGTAAGTCTTGTGATTTGGTTTTTTCCTTTCTTCTAAATCGATATTTATCACAAATTAATTATAATTGTAAAGAGGTGCTGTCCAAACGTATGCACCACATGTTCTTATCAAAAGTTCTCCAGCAGTGGCAGCTATGAAGACAACCCTGTTTTTGTGTAAATTGTAAAGTAAGTTTCTGCCTGGCAAAGTCATCGATTTATATTTGCGCCCGAATGTATTTTAATATTATTAAACCAGATTGACAGCATTTGTATTCAATGTCTATCGAATTAACAAAAAATAAGTTTAGATGACCACCGTATGCCACTGGGATCGAGCTATATAAAATATCGGTCTACGAAAGTGATGATTAAAGTATGTTTTGACTATCATCGATCGCCCCTCTTCGACACTGATGCAATGTACTATACATGTATGCGTTTGTAGCACGTTGCACCTGCTTAAAAGGCACAAATTTGATGTAGACACTGAGTCAACAAAATTGGCCGCTGATACTTCTGGCGCGACAGCCAACCAAAGGTACGCCTTCTTTGTTGTCCTTTTCCTCTCTCCCTCTTTGAATGGACCTACCTTTTTTCCGCAGACAAACGCGAAACAGAGCGTACGTTCGATGTGCGAACCAACAAACGTTCACGTTTGTTTATGGTGTCTTAGGGTACCTACATACCACAAAGCTTTCAGGATCAGTACGCTATGATCTATAGGTTATCCTAAGACTGAATACAGTTGGTTTCTAATTACACAAATGGATAGCTGGAAGAACAAACAACCTATACCATTTCTGGCAAGACAGCGCCGTAAGCCGGCAGTTTCGCAAGTTATTGCCACGAGCAGCCGTAGTGCGCGTAATAGATTCGTGTCTGAAGCTGTGCCCACTCACAATAAACCATCAAAAATGAATCATCCTTTATTTATCGACGTCCAGAGTAGCTATTCAAGACAGCTAGAAAGTATAGCCCAACCAGCAAACACGAGAAGGATCAAAAAAGCTTCTGAGCCGCCGCTTATCGATCAGGTCGACGTTCTGGGATCGATACCTCGTGTACAGAATGGCACTGAATTGAATTACAGGACAATTCCCCAGCCTAACAGGGTACATTGGGATCCTGCCATCGACAGGCGGTGTGATGCAGCCTGTAGTGGCTTGACCACCGCAGACGAGCCTGTTACTGAACTTGAAAAAGGTACGCGAGATAGGACTGCCTCAAGGTTCGCATCTAACGACTTAAATATAACTATAAACGAAGAGGTGACTACTGGGGGCAATGAAACTAATATTTCTATTAAATCGGCGTCTCTGAAAGCCTTTTTCCAGTCCAAAAATATTCGTATCCCTCACGGTTTTTCAGATGAGGTTCACCTAAACGACTGCGTTGTCCCTACGACGTGCGACGTGTGCCAGATATGCCCGCCCTGGACGAAGATTTGCATTCTGGAAATATGTATTCATAAAATCTGCGTCTACTGCTTTTATAACGTTTATATGCCTCACCAGCCCATAGCAAGGTGCCCCGTCGCCAACTGCACAACTGTGACTTCGTCTGTTGTTGACGTTAATCATAATTTTGACCAGCAATATCGCCATCACATCGACAGTAATAACGTAGCAAAAGGCCGCTCACCAGTGAACAACCAAGCTAACTTCTCGATACCACAGCAAAAACTGGTCGGGGAATCTTTTATTCAAGCTGGTAGGGACGGATAGGCTAAACTTGGTGCCTAAAGATAGCGTATTTTGGCTACGACCGTGCACCAAAGCTAGTTGTAAGTTATGTCTTGATCGACCGCTGTTTCTAAAATTTCCCACGGATATAGTACAATAGATTAAGTTGCCCCTGCCATTTGGGCTTAGGATATGCAGTACTGATGCTTGCGGTAAAACTATACCGGACTACTGCGAAGATATGAAGAATTCCATGATTTGTATTAGGTATCCACTCTACAACAAGCGCCCGCATTTTAGCATTGAACATACAATGGATACGATTATATTTAGCCTGTTTTAGGCCGCCTCATTAACCATATATTGGCCAAAATATACGCTATTTTTCCTGTCGAAAATTTCGTCAGTCAATACAACGAAGGTTAACAGCGTGACTCGAGTTGATTGTGCGAATGCTTTTGACCGTTTATGTGGTGACTACTTATTTTAGTGCACACTGCAGCCAATGTCAGTATTCTCTTTTTCGCTAGTGCGCCTTTAAACTGACTCTGTGGGGGTTAAAGGGTCTACATGCATAAGGGATCGTGACTTGACTTCCGGAAATCGGAGCAACTATGATAAAAAGCACCTTAAAACCAAACACATGCCAAGAATAGTAAAACGGGAACGGTACTCTGCGCTGACAGTAGCTGTCAGATTATACTTCTGGACATAAACGAAGAAGACGAACGGGAAGGATAAGAAGCATTTCTATACGAACAAGCTAATAGAACTGTAAATAAATTCCCCATACGTCGGGCCAAAAAGGTTTCTGGGTTTAATGTACATCTCTGAATGTACGCACATGATATTAAATTCAACTCTCAAAAGCATTTATCCAGTAAGGCTTCTTTATCAACGTTTTTTTTTACGTTAACACCTTTTACCATAATATGATATAACAATTATCGTATTTATTGCTTTGGCTTGATATTAGATGTTTACTATTGTTACTAAGTCAATGCACGCGCTATAGGCTATTAGGGAATTAACAGGCAAATCAAAGAATACGAAGGACATTAACTAGATACGTAGGTATGATGTAAAACAGGTAAATATTGACAGTGTTTGAAAAAATATATGAAATAAAAATACAGCATATATAGCCGGTGTCTGACCTGTCAGAGCTTTCCTCGTTTTGATGAGCACTAAAAAATGTACTTCGCTTTCCTTTGTTCGGTGGTTGAAGGCGAAAAACTACGGTGGTTAATACCAGTGCGACGGAAGCGCTACGCATGGCTGGTACTATAAACAGAACAATTTGTTTCGTTCGCTCGTATTTCGTATTAGTCGTACAAGTTCGTATCAGGAAATTGATATCGATATATCGTGTTCAAAACAAAAAAACGCTAATAAATGTACCTCAAATACAGTGCAATCTCTATGCACATTTACGAAAGTACTAGTTACTAAAATTATCTGCCTTATACAATACTGTTATGTTTATTCTAAATAAGCATAGCATTTATGTAAACTTGCTGTAAAGAGCTGTTTCAACCTGATACGGCAGTTTTATGGCAGGTAATGGTTATATGCGAAGTAATAAATGACTTTAATAGTTGTTTATATCACACGAATTGTGTCACTTGTGACGAATAGGGATAATAGTACAAACGTCAAATTTAATAGTGATTAATCTACGATGAATAATTTATTGACTTACTTTCGGCATCATAATTTTCGTTTCCATAGCCAACTATTATTATATTACCGTAGACAAAATATAGTAATACTGTATTAATTATCGTTGCAAGAAAGAAAAAGAAACACCATTAAGTAAAAAAGTGCTCAGTGGTTATTTTATCTATTCAGATAATCAGATATCTGCTCTGTTTTACAGCTATCAGGAAAGCTTTTTTTCGGTAAACCTCAAGCATGTATACCAAACACAAGCCCAATGCGATATTTTTCTTATCACACATCCACCATGGAATATGTTGAAGCATAGACCCCTGAATTAATCAGGCGTCTAACAACAGACGAGTGGTGGCAAATCGATGAAAACCATCCACCAGTTCAGGAGGGTCTGGCTATCTCATTTGTCCAAATTCCATACTAATTCATTGGCAACGAGCATAACTTCCGAAACTGATTAGAAGTAAACTGTAGTAACACTAAGAAACACCAAAACTTTCTCGATGCTACAGCTGTGTCTACTCGTAACACAAAAAAGAAATTAGTATCCCGTACATAGAATGAACACAAATAGATAATGAAGCAAATTTACACACCGATGTACAGAACGAATTGCTCTAAATTCGGCTCTGCACGTTTTATCGGTGTTTATCGGAACAGCCTGATAATCATACCATTCAGAATTAGTTATTTGTAACTATCCCATACCGACCTCTACCCCGGGTCCACTAAAAATAACCGCATACAGATTTGTTTCGCGTTTTACCCGGCAAAATGTTCCTCGAGCGTTTAATCCCATGCGATTCGTGTACCTCCTTAATCGAGAAGAATATGCGATTTCAAATGCAAGCCTGCCGCCACAATCTCTGTTCGGACTGCGTCCAGCGATGCCGGGAAATGCGTCGTTTCGGTGTAGTTATCCATCATAAATGCCCGGTTGAAGGCTGCGAAAAATTGGTCTCGGAAGAGGAAATACAGATGATGCAAAATTTTCGCCACAGTCCTGACATTGACACTTATAAAGATTCTCTTCAACTTGTCAAAGAGGAGTCGCATTGTGACCAATGTTACCAATCGATTAGGCCATATTACGGCGTATTCATAAGATCATGCTTCCATAAGATCTGTTTGAAATGCGTGCAGGTATCGACTGCACACAGGCAGTTCAGTTGCGCCAAATGTCCCGTCGAGGGATGCAAAGCCACGATTAGCTATCGAGAAATAGAATTGTTGGATACTGACAAATCCACTTTCGACGATACGATACCGTATTTGCGCTACAAAAAGCTCTTGTGGCAAGATCTTTGGCCTTGCAAGACAGCTGGGCCGTGTCGTGCGTGCGGTAAATTTCTAATGAACTTTGAAGGGGTTCTTTTAAAAATGTGTCAAAGACATAGAGTGTGTAAGAAATGTCTGTATCACACTGTTTTGGTATTCGATGTCAACCAAGGAGGCACACCATACTGTCCTGCACCGAATTGTCAGGCCGTGCTTCAACGACTTGAAGTGCTAGCACTTCGAAATGAAATCGAAGTTTGGCAAAGACGAGGAAATCATTATGTCTGGGAGCGTAAAGAAGTCGGTGAACCCGTTGAACTTCGGCAGATGGGTGAGGTACCTGTTGAGGTAATGACCTGTAATATGCAGTGCCATTCCTGTGAAAGACCCGTACAGGCCTTTAAAGGTATTGTTGTTAAACGATGTCGCCACAGCCTTTGCAAATTCTGTTTTCGATGTTGTGTTGGAAGACGGGAATGTATAGTACCTCGCTGCAACAGCCCAATTTATATGGGTGTGATTGAGGTCGTTGCTGCAAATCTTTAAATTTCATGAAAATAAACGGAGAATAGCTTAAATTGCTCACACGCAAAATCTTGACGAAAAGTCAGCCGCCGGATACGGTTTTCCTTGAAGTATGCGAGGACCTTGTGTATCAATTCAATCTACGTTTGGCTTTGATACTAAGCTACAATAACTCAATTAGTGAGTGACAATTTATATAGTTGTTATCCCTCTCGCTTAAGTAGCTTTTAGCACGATCAATGTGATCTTGTGGTATGAGCTATCGCTAAAACGAGAATCTGTTTACCTAAAGTTGAACTATTAAGCAATAATAACTATATGCGAAGCTGAAAATGATCTTGGCTGATTCTAGTATCCTACGAACTAAAAGAACCGATGCTTATTGCCATTCACGAAAAATTATATCAATTTCTCGTCGAACGAGATTTTCGTAAGCAACAAATAATGCCCACGTCTTGAAACAGCACTTTGACGAATAAACCCGTAAATTTCGGTGTTCTTTTTCAAACCACATCTATCTCTCAATTATAAATATGTTTCGTTACTGAAGTCTGCGGTGCAGTGTGTAACTGCACTGTGAGAACTGACCAATTCCAAATATTCAGACCGCTTTTCTCATGTTACTTCAAAGTTACCCAACTTAGTGTATGATCAATACAAGAGAGTTCTAGAACAGTCTTTGTTTTTATGATGTCAAGCTAAGAACATGGTAACTTGACCAAATTAAATACAATGTTGGTTTTTCTTCAACTTATTTATAATATCAGCATGGCTATATATTTACACGTTCAAGAAGCTTTCGTTGTTAAAACTCTCTCACTGTTCAGTACCTAGAGTATGGAAAGCAGACTTGCATACTAATTGCCAATTCGGTTCTGGCTTGTCTTGTTACATTGCTGTTCACTATAAACACAAGTATATTGGATTCGTCGTCCTTTTATTTCGGAGGAAGAATAATTGTCTTTTATCTTTACTCTTATAATGTACATACAATTTCTGATTTCTACACAGCTTCGAAGCGCTCGTCGAATCTAACTCTAACAACGAACCATCGTAGTTGAATACGTTTAAGTTGACGCTTTTGGAAGGACTTTACTCAATCCTCACTAGAACTACCTCACCAGTATCATCTTCGCTCTCACTATGGTTCAAATATTGCTGCAGTTTTGCGTCCTGTGTCCGTAACTCTTCAGGCTCGTCTTTGCCGTGTTGGTACTCTGCTACAAGTTCCATCACCTGATCTATTCGTGCCGAATCGCTGCATCCTTGTAGTGTCGCCTGCGCTGTCGGCTCCGTCTCGACATGGATATTGGACTCTTGCTGCTGCTGCGGGGCGTTTTTTTCCTGTGTTCGACCAACGTATGCTTTCGGAGGCGGTACGGAGGCAGTGAGTACCTCTGCTACCTATAATTGAGCGATCAATATTCGCATGATCAGTCGAATAGCGCAACTATGGCGGCAAATGTGTTCGGAACGCCAAATTAACCCAGTAATGAACGTGTATTTCAGAATGCTTATTAAAAAAAATTCAATTTATCGCTTCGTCTGCGAAAAAAGAGTCTACTGACCTTTTTGAGCAATGTTAGTGGAATCTGCAGAAGGTTTGATACTGCCGCAGCTCGACTGAGCAGTCCACCGATCGGTGCTATTGAGTTTTCGCCCGAAAATGAGGTACCGTCAACTGCCTCTGCTCCTTGCCCGCTAGCGGTGCTTGGGTTATCGAGGTTCGCAGTATCACTTGGTGGATTGTAGATGGCATCTGTATAGGCTTTAGGGTCCCATCCTGGAGGAGGTCGACCCTGACCTGACCAATATACGCGATCACTGGCGCGAATTTGGAGGTTGGCAATAGTTTCACCTGTAAAAAAACACAAAAATCAGTTTATATATATATATATATATATATATATTAGTATAATCAAGATAATTGAAGAAACAGGTGATCTTTTTTTAGGTATCTAAGCATAAAGTTAAAAAAATCTTAAGCCAAACATCCAATATAAAGTGTGGTGCCTATATCAGAGTTAAAAGCTAGGACAAAAACCTGCTATTTCAATTGTGTATATGGCGTTTTTGTAATACATCAATGTTGCGAGGCAGCTAGGAACACTTACACTGATGGAGTTATATTTTATAACATATATTAGAACTAACTGTTTGACGTTTGTGTAGTATTGTTATCTTCTATGAATAAACTACTTAGTTCGTTACATGTAATGCGGTCGTTTTTAGCACTTTCATAAATAGGCCTCACACACAAACGTACGTAACGAAATTCTTAGTGCCATCATTATGATCTGAGCGCTAAACTGCTTAGATACTACCTCCATTAATCATGTTACCTTTGTTGGCCAACAATCGTATCAACTCATCAATACAGTCGCCGTCCGGTCGATTTTTTGCCACGTCCAATCTCATCAAGAGTCGTTCAGTGAAGAATCGCAAAAGGGCGGCCATTAATTCAGTGCGTGGCGGTTCATAATCTTCAGTCGCTTGAACCATGTATCTGTAAATTGAGCATTGTGTAAACGCCACATGCAAATATCAAGACTTTAAGGCTTTCCCATGGAAGTATCTAAATGACGATGTTACTCAACGCAGTGTACGCCTATTGCTAGACTACTTTATAATAATACGAATAGAACGACTTTATGATAATAAAATGTATCCAAATCCAAAAACTGCAAAATGTGACACCACTCAGGCTTATTTTTTCCTTTTACCTTAATTCCACATTGTGCATGCCAGAAGCATGGCATGGTTTTTCGACTTATGTCAATCCGGTCTGTTTGGTTCATTTTCAACTAATACGATTTTCGGATATGCCTTGCCAGATAGCGTTATGAAAAAGAGCTTTGGCAGACCAGAAGTTCTTTTATAAAACGTTTATTAAATTAAAGTGCCCAGATCTACTTTCTTATGTTGCCTAATTTGAATATCATGTGAGACAAGAAAAAAGTTCGTGCGGTACCTGAAAAACAACAGTGTCAGACAACTCTCACTAAATGAAACTAATATAACTTGTTACTGTATATGCACGACGTGTGCGCTATATGTAAAACATAACGGGTAACCAACCTATACATATTGGCTAGCGTAAAATTCATCGCGTTCTGCCGCGTATTTCCAGCGTGGCTGGTGCTGGGCCCGCCGCTAGACGGCATTCCAGTCGTTGACCCTTTTTCATTTTCATCCGTCCAAATGTTACTGTTCCCGTTACTGATCTGATCAGCTTTGTTAATGAATGCTCGAACGAGAGGCGCACTATTCGGAGGATGTGAAATATTCTTTCGCCGTTGCTCTTTCGAGATCACCATGGACCATCGCATGAGGGCTACAATATCTGCTGGGGCATATCTGGGGTCTCGGCGAGACTTCCGTTGGTTCTTCAGACGTGATCTGGATGGTTCGCATAGTACAAATTTACAACACGCAAGGATACACCACAAGGCTCTAGATTAGCTTCTTTTTTTATATATCGTTTATTTCTGCGATACATACATTTTAGAAACCTTCTTGCTAGTTGACAAAACACGCCGTTTCGCTAACGTCTTTAAGTGTCCCTCACACTGATTGGGAAAATTCAGTTGAAATTCAATATTTAAATATACTCAGTTCACACATCAACTAATATTTGTCTGATCGTAGAAATATATATATATGATTTAGATTAAAGGATGTCTATAAAAATCATTTGGAAAATCGTTTGATGAATGTATATTTCTCAAAAATATTTTGTGTCAATTTCTCTAGGACAGAGTAAGCTCATTATTTTTAACAGCTTCAACAAAATATTTGCTTATCGAGCAGCCAACACGGCTAAACGCAATGTCCCTAATAAATTAGTATTGTTGTATGTAGAATATTCTTCTACAATTTTGGCTGACTCATACTGTACACTCCATAGATATCTCCGAATTCGCTCCGGATCCTCTTTGATTTCATCCTGAAGTACAGTAGGAATCTGGTCTACGGGTACCCTACTGTGCAGTAAAGATATAAGGCGCTGCTTCGACTTGTTGGACAAATGGGCCCATCCACGAACTTTACCTGAAGGATATAGCAGACGTTGTCTTTACACGTTGTTTCTATAGTTACTGTGCTCGAGAAGACTTCAATCTGAAGGTTCAGAGCTCTATATGTAATGCCGAAAGTTTAACTTGTACTAAACGCCATTAAAGCGTATACCGTACTTTATGTACACGAATCAAAGCAAAAGGTATTAAACCCTAAACGAAGAGCCTATGCAACTTATTAACTTAAATTAGCACAATGCGTAAAATTACCAACATCGGAGCATCACGACACTCACCTACCGCTTGGCTAATATCTGATTCCAACTACGAATCCTAAGAACTCCAAATATATCCATTGAAGAGACACATTGTAATACATCGTTTCATTAGCATCATTTTATAAATTACTTAAATGACTAAACACTACGCATATAACGACGGTATTCTAGATTTATAAAATAGCTCCAGCACGGCTCAATTGACAGAACTTGAAAGGACTCACGAGGAGGAGGCAGTTCGAACCACTGAAGCCGAGATTTGGACTTGGCAGACTTCATCTTTATGATTTCGCAGTTTCTGCAAGCGATAAATAAAATAATAAGAGGACAGACTTGAGAGAGCGAACTAGACGAACTTATCACCGTGTTTAAAATTACATGATAAAAAATACGTTTTATCCACCAAACGTTTTTTACAATGCAGGCCAACATCTCCTGAAACGAAATTTTGACGGTTTCTTCTTACTGTATTAAATCCTATGTCCCAAATTACACGTTTCCGACTTACAGTGCAAAAAAAGCAATATCGTCTGTGAAAAGGATCGCATTATTAAACGCATAAATGAGTAAAGCAAATCTATTTAAACCGCAGTTCATTTGATTTCGTAATCATTGAAATTCACATAACGCTACGCTTGAATATACAATGGATACGCAAGAATACAGACATTGTGAAAATTACTGAAGAAGCCGCATAACCAATGGCCGCAATTCGTGACTATATCTGCGTCCAAAAACGTTTAGCCGACACGCAAACACAACTTATTTGCGAAAGAAGCGCGAGATTAGGCAATAATCATATATATTCGTTCCAGGCGAATCCATACAGCTCAAAATTTAGATAAAGCTCTAACAGTATCAAGAAGAAAAATAAGCTCAAACTACATAAGAATATCCGCCTTGACAAATGTCGACTGAAAGAACACCGCAGTATTTCTTGTCCAAAATAACACATTCTTTTCAAACACTTGAATATATGAAGCAAATTTCAAAACTGTGATCAGGCAAACAGACGATGTTTAGTTGCATAGCTCCTGAAGTTCTTTTAGTAAATACTTTTCTCTGTACATAAAGGTCATAATCAATAATAATTCACTAGGTCGTATACATTTCCCTGGGCGAACTCTTTAAACAAGTGTGTCGTTTTTGTTCGAAAGGAAAGCGCGCTTTGTGACGCTAATGCTATGTCCAGGAGCCGGCGAGGTAATGCAATGGAATCAGACAGCTGATTTCTGCGCTGATAAACACATTACGCTCAGCGAATAAGAAAATCTTCACTGGAGCCATTGGGAGTGAGTTGAAACCTAATTCATTTTGGCGTCGATTTACTCTAAAGTAGTTCTGAATATCAGTCGGACGGTGTATCCGAAGTCTCAACAACAGCTTACGAACAAGACGAAGCTTCATATGTAAACCACAATATTTGAGTGCGCACCGAATCTGACGTTGTGTCCACTGAACTCTGTGAAGTCGGATGGTGCTTTCGTAAAGAGGTGCAGAAAATTAAATATAATGTAGATTCCTGGAGTTATAGTGTAATGAACATCGAATCGTAATGTGTGCAAAATACTACTATTAAGGTAGAAACTAGATAAGGCTTTATTACGGCGCTCATATTTCCTCTCGCCAGCCTGTGTCAGCTTTGGTTAGTTGCATTGCACCCTCAAAATTTCGTCTCGCCGCGAAAGAACTGGTACCTCCCCCCGGCCAATGGCCACGGAGGCCCTTCAGGTTCGTTTATTTTTAGGAAAACTTTCAAATATTTGTACACAACTCTTGATTTGGAAATAAATAAGTAAATATAGGCTACTTAGTAAAGAAAAAAAATCAATATAGAGCATGCGCTTGACAAATTTGAACAAGTTGAAGAGAAAATAAGGCTCTGTATGTGGGATACATTAGCTTTCTTGCTATCTTGTATATACTGCGAATGTGTTCTAATAAAAAGGTAATGGTTGTGTCACACTGTCGGCAAGTTTTGTAAATGATAATCCAGAAGTTCTTTAGTATTCATAGGAGCATCATCGCAAAGAACGGTGGTTTTTTGTCGTTATTTTAACCTGTTTTTCTTATGGTAAGTTACGTGAAATAGTGTTTTCACTTTACTTCAAGCTGTCCGCAGCAGTTACGTTTATTAATTTTTTTACACCAATTTTACTCCACGCTCGGTTTCCAGAAGATGATAGACCACGAATTGAACGTACGGAACCTAATGGTCGTTAAAGTCAACATCGAGCAAAAGATTAATATACTTGGTGGAGTGTTATCCACGAATGGGGTGGGTATGACGGAGCCTTTAGTCGACAGAGATGGATACCCTCGTAATGATATCGACGTATACCAGGTGTGTTTTTCATTCAGTTTGAACGCCTTCGTTTGCACTTATGTGAAGGGAATATACTTTTTTTATTTGCATTTTTTAATTAATTTTTAATTTGCAGCGAGATTTTAATAACGTTTCACGATAGTTCAAATAATCAGCTGTGTTTTGCTCAAATATAAATTAACTAATAGAAGAGGCACTTGATCGATTCCCATAGTCTACTAGCTTATTCCGTGTTAAGCCTATTCTATTTAAGACTATAACTCTGATTGATGCTTTTAGGTTCGCAAGGCACGGCACGATATTATTTGTTTGCAGAATGACCTTAAGGAAGTAACGAGAAAAATCGAGGAAGGCTTGCATCGGCTGCATGCAGAGCGTGCGGAGGTAGGAAATTGTATTGAAAAGCAGATACGATGTATTTGTAAAAGATTAAAGTATTAGAGGATGCTAAAAAAATTAGAAAATTAGAGAAGGATACCATTTTCCCTGATCTTTCGAAATGAGGGAGAGTTAGCCTTGCAGACACTTCTAGAATTTAAATTTATGTTTTAGCCCTGATCATACCGTTTGTTTGTAACATGACCAACAATCTTTTCGGCCATTTTGACAAAAGAACAATTCCTTTAATATGGCAGTTTATTCACCGAAATCAAAAGAAGCTGGAACTACCTATGTATGTATGCTGTACGTTGTCTGGGTTTTTGCAGTCTGGGGCGACCAGTACGAGCGAAACCGATGCCGAAACTCGGCGACTGAAAGCGTTCGCCCGAATATCGTCCGTTGAACGGGGATCACCAGCCGATCAAGCTGGGCTTCGATCAGAAGATCTCATCACGAACTTCGGCAGTATTCACATTGACAACTTTAATGGTAGGAACCTTTACGTTATAAACTTCTTCTGCCTTTGTGTTCCAGTTATAGTTTGAGCAGATAGTCTAAAACGCAAAAGTCTCGCGCATTTTGTACGCGGATTTCGTTAACGATTAATTAACGTGAATTTTTTCTAGGCCATTGGTAAGCCTGATTATTTATAGTATGAGCTTTTCAAACAAATAAATGCATTGTGAGTGCGCTTATCAGGACATGTGTAAAAAAACTATTGCTTCGTATTTGTTTAACTAACATCATAATACACTGGAATTAGCTGACTTGCCTAATAAACATTCTTTTCCTACCGGCAAACTTCATTCCTCAGTAATTTAGGAGACAGAGCATGTAGATATTTTTCTCTTCTCGATCAGCGTAGCCTTGTTTTATCTTTTAAGGTGATTTGAGGTAGATTAGTGATCATCTTATATTAGAAATACACTGAGTAGCAGTTTCGATCGTAAATATGATCAATGACCATCTCTTCAAAAGTAAAGGTTGTTGAAACCCGTTTAATGTATATGGTCGCTATTTCAGGAATGATGTCCATCGCGGGATTGGTACAGAACTCTATCGGCAAAGCGCTTAAGATTCGACTTCTCCGAGGTCTTTCCCTTGCGCAGTACGACATTTTGTTAGTTCCGAAAAGCTGGAGCGGTCAGGGTGTACTTGGTTGTAAAATCGTTCCCCTATAGGAATTCCAGACCGATTCCCAAAATAGTACAACATCTTTCGACAATACACTTATATCTGTCTAAACCCTCAAAAGAGTAACGACAGAACTAAAGCTGAACGGTAAAGGAAAACTTATACAGAACCGAAAAGAAATAAAATGTTGTCGTACTTCGGTATTATTATCGCCATGTAATATTATGAGCATCGTGTGCGCTTGTGTGTTTGTGCATGAAAATAAACATGTTTATTTAAGAAAATCTTTCTGGAAAAATTTCTTATAAGAAAATATATAACTAGTTATTTAGAGCTAGACCCGAAGTGCTTCTGCCCTAAAGTCCTATATAAGTACAAGTTTAGCTTAGGCCCTTTCGGATGGAGGAACTTGAAGGAGGAAATGCTTGAAATGAAAAAAAGCGTGAGACAATAGGTTCTTCCCGTCTGATATTAAGGACTTCGTACTCAAGCCCTTAGCTGTGGCTGTGTAGTAAGTTTTTGCTTATTATTACCGAGGGCATGCAAAAGTAGTCATCAGGAGGCAAGGTGTTTTTAACGAGATTTTTCTTTATGCAATACTGGATCAGTTAAGTCCATATATCCGTTTTAAATATTCTCGCTTCCAATTAATCAATTTCTTCAGTTTTCTTATGAAGCTCAATATAAATACGCAGATTTATCTGTCAATATACCATGTGATTTGTACGTTAAGCTCCCTCACACGGCAAAACGTAGCAGTGTAAAATAGTGTGCCAACATGGCCTGTACTACGAATAGTAGAAAAAGGTCCGCACAATACAACATCTTCCTGAGCCGTACAAGCTAGTAAACCTAAATGTAATGTTCATGGAGAAGTAAAGCGACCTGATATTATATTATCTACCATTGAGCTTTGCACTAAACTGCATTGAAATGAATATAAAATTGAAAATAAGAACATTTTATTATTATAGTGGGCTATATGATATTCGTAGCAGATTTATTGTACAGAGTAACAACTTTGATGATCTTCGACATTATATACGCTTTGCTCAAAATTATTCTACGCAAGACATATATATTCCCTGATGGTTGTTCAACGCCTCACTGAATAGTTAACGCTAGTTCTCAATAAAGGTTTACACAACAACAGTATTAGCATATACGCTAACTTCTACAACTATTTTATTATCGGTAGCTTAATTTGTTCTTCTGGTGACGCATCATCGGGTCTTTGAGTTTAACCGCTAGTTCTTTCCGGGCAAGCAGGCGCTGCTCGACCTTCTGGTCACGGGCCTATAATATTGATAAAATGGAAATAATGATGTGGTCATGATAAAACAATTTTTTTTTGTTACTATTTTTATGATCCTTATAATTATTTATGTACTACAATCGCGAATAACGCATAATGTTAAATCGGTTAGTAGAGTATGCATTAAAAATTTTTTAAATGTAAAGCAAGCAGTTTAACGAAATAGCAGCAAGTTATTGTTGAAGAAAATACAAAAAGTTTAGGTATAAATTACGATTTTAATTTGTACGAACTCTTACAAAAACATGTTAACATATCATTAATACTGTTTCCACTTTTATATTTACTATGAGAAAATGACCTACGAAACCTATAAAAATAAAGGTTAACACACTCGCCAATAAAAATGCAGTTTCCTTACCTTCATACGGGCTTGCATTGTCGTAATCGCGTTGGCCCAGCCGAGAGCTTTGTACTTTTCGAAAACAACTAAGTGTTGCCCATTCGTCGAAGCAGTTTCGTGCGAATAGCGTTGACGATAATACCTATATAGTCGGAAAAAAGATTCAAATTCGTAAAAAATGAATAATTGTGTGAGAAAAAATTATATATCATACTCATTACTGTAGCAATGTGTATGAAGTGTAACTGGCTTTTCTAAATACCTTACACAAGCCAATTGTGTTCAATTAATTTACGTCATACTTGAACTGACCAAATGCTAAAACTTTAATTTACCAGCGGCAGAAAAAATTACACATGATTTCAGCACACTTAATACACGTCCTGTGAATCTTTAAATAACCTCACATCATACCTCATGAGCGCTCGATGACCAATATATGCGCCCGATGGCAATTGAAGCGTCCAGTCATCATTTTCATACAGTATCTCCGGATCAAATTCCTCATCGGGATCAGCGCCATCAGGGTGAGTTGAACTATAGTCATAGAAATTCGAATATTCTAGTGGCGAATCCAAGGAGATGCTCGTGTGTCCTAGGTCGATCATGTGTTGCTGGACCGCTAGTATCGATCGGAACGGCGTCTTCTCATCGTTGTCACAAAGCAGGCATACTTTTAATTCGCCGATCTTGTAACCTAAAGTACCGGTGAAAACGAACAAAGGTGAAAGGTAAAACGCCTAACCAAATATAAAAACAGTTCTGAAAAATGAAAATTACGTACATCATGTCAGTTTGCAGAGGAGAGATCAAGAGAGACTTCTTTCCCGAGTAATTTTAGGTAGAACGTACCGAGCTTTAGTGAGGAGGTTACTGTTAGTTGTTTTAGATGCCACTGAAATGAACATAGTCGTGCTTTGTGCCCTTACCAAGATAGATGAGAAGTCCTTCGGGGTTTATCAGATACTCAGCGTCTGGAACGAAGAATGAGTGACTGATTGCCATATGTTCTATGTTTTTCTCCATATTTTTTGACACCTGTAATATAAAACATTTGTTAGACGAAGTCAATCGAAGCGACTAAATCAGGTGACCAAATATATTCAGGTGGTTTAATCAATCCGTTGAGTATCTCCTAAACGTACACGTTCAAGACATAATAATAATAAAAAGTAAAAAAAAGAAAAAAAAATAATAAAAAGTATCATGACGCATTCTTGTGATTTATTCAATTCGTGCTTCATAATCTTCCGCAATCGTATCCATACCGTATACTTACCTTGTTACAGAACAGGCATACATGGATTGGAATACAGTCAGTTAATTCGGGTTCAGGTGGCAACAACTCTGGCGAAGACGAATTCTATCGCAAGAAAGAGAACATTAACCGAAATATTGCCATGAGCAAATTAGAAAAAGAAAAACATAGCCTTATAATAAATATCTCTACAGTACCAAAGCACAGCTTGATATTAAAATGTCTCTTTGTGAAGCCGGAATGTTGGTTCGTCCAGTACATTTTCGATCTCCGCACAGGTGCTTTTACAAAGCTTGCGTAAGCTACTGAAAAAGAACGATGCAGGATCCAGTCTAAAAAGAACGGTGAAGTTCAGTTGTATATTTTCTAAAATCTTGCGTATATAGTAATCGAACATGGCAACAATTTACTTAGGCTAGAAACACTGCTAAGCTTAAATCTAATAATTCCATAAGTTATGCCTTTCCACCTCGGACTCTCGCTCGTTAAGCGAAGCTAAGTACGGCTCTTATCCGCACTTCCTAGGTTTGCGTTGAGAAAATACGTTTTCAATTAACTCACAGCATTGAGCTTTGCTCTCCTACCAGCAACAAACTGGAATGCTATAATTTACCATCATCTTTTTATCGGCAAATTATCACCTGTTCTCCATCGATTTCTTCATATGACTCATTCTCTTCGACGTCGTCGATATCTTCCCAGTCTTCCTCGTTATCAGCCGAAATAGAACTGAATTGCTTGGCGGGGTCTATCCGTTCGGTAACCGGCGTACGAATTCGTAGAGGCACGTTTCGATAGGTTCGCCGGCCCGAATCCTCAGACGCATCGCTCTCAGTTAAAACAAAAGCTTTCTTTACCTCCTATGAAAATATAAAGATATTCCGAATATATTGAAACCATTTAATAACATGAAGGAGTAATTCAATTTTATATTAGGCTTTATGATTATAGTATGATAATTATAGAGAAAATGACAGTTACAAGCATGTCTACTGCTTACCTTTCGATGAGCTTTGGAATTAAGGTGATTTTTCAAAGTTTGCACGCTATTGAATGATTTTTTGCAATCGGGGCAATGGGCACGCTCATTAGTAGTGGTCTGGTTAAACTTTTGTGAAGCGGCTACCTTGGCGATGAAATCCTCGGCGGTTACCGATGGTAATGCTGCACTCTTTCTTTTGAGATTGTACCTGACCAACAAAAATTAATATATTGGTGTGCTATTTTTATAGTTCTACGATCCGAAGTAACTGAACTGAGAACATATAAAGTTTGGAGACTTGACACAACACTTTTTACTGTATTGGATTATTGAGTATTTCGTACATATTGTAGCTCAATGCTCGACTGAACCTAAGTGTCCTATTCAAACGTTTTGGAACCTCACACAGTATATTTAACCAGCGTAAATATTGCTGCACCATAAGGTTATAATGTATTCGGAAGTCTTCTCTTTATCATGGTCCAATTCTCTAATGGCAATATTGCTACTAAGAGGTATTAGTCCTTAAAAAATATGGTCTTCTTGTATAGTCTTAAATATAGTCGTAAGGACTAGATTTGTCTTAACTATTAAAAGATTAACAAAACCTACATAACTTTTTGTAAAAATGTATCCATGCATACTGCCAAAATTAATAATATTCTCAATACATTAGTCGAATTACAGAGGTCTGGAAAAGTGTTTAGTGGTTTGTAGTATATTTACGTACTGCTTTTTAAGGGCGCAACAATGATACAAAGAAACTAGTGTTGCACCAATACTCTTTCGTGCTACTGTATGAGACGGTTCACAGGTTAAACTAGAACTGTTTTGCGTTAAAAAGTGATTGTTACATATTTAACTGACATCGAAATCACCAACGGCGATGTACAAAAAACCTGCAAGATCTATCCATGTTATTTCTCATATCATAAAGGGTTAATATTGATGCCAACTGCTGTACGCTATCACGACCCACTGTCGTCACTGGAATCATTGAATACATTAATAAAATAGATGTCTGTCAACATATTTTTTCTTCGTTTCGAAATCCTTTCGGCGCTTTTGGTGCAACGGCTTAATCCAATAGTTTTGGCACACCTTTCGCCGCTTGCAGTCAGCTTACTTGAGGTCTTTAAACTTATGCCGTTTACTAACCGGTGCCAATCGCATCGATAATGGTTTCTTTGAAGTTCACCGGAGGTGAATATGAGTTTGCACGTCAAACACGTAAATTGCGATCCGACCTGGGCCATGGCTATTCGGTAATTCCGCCACGATAATACCTATTTTCGCTTCACCACGATGTTCTGTGCTTCTGTATCACTCCGCGCTCAACTCTAAAGTGTAAAAGAGTATATTAGGAGTTAGGAGAACATGATTTCGGTACAAGAAGTTATGACTGACAGTATTACCAAGTGTTCGCTTAAGATGCTCGAATGATTATAATATACTCAGGAAGCCGCTTAAGCGACATCCATGTGTGATCTAGATGATGGGCACCTAGACAGCGCTATTTTGAAAAGTCAGTTGAAGCTAAGCCATGATTTATAATAGGAGCCCGCCAAATTTATAATGCGTCGCATATGTTTGTCTCTGCTTTGGACTGTTTAGAATATGACATAAAAAAAGACGTTTGAACGATGCGTGAATTTCATAGACATTGCTGAGATTGAAGAAAATAGCTTATGATTAGCCGACTTCAACTAAATCAAGTATGTTTAAAAATCACTAGTTTTCTTTTTCAAATCGAGACCTTATTGAACATTCGAATTTTACGTTGATTCATCAAAACATTGTAATTGCAGCGAGTGCTTTTATTAGATGCACCAGAATGGAAAGTTTAAAAGAAGCTCTTGCCGCTCAATTTGAGAAGGCTATTAGTGATATCCGGGCACTAGCCGAGGGTTCCAATGAAAAGATGGAGTCTATATCGCAATTTGTCGAAATGGATTATCAATTAAAGGTAAGAAAAGACTTACTAAATTTGATTTTCGTTTACATTTCCAGATAATAATTAATGTTAATTTAAGACAAAATATCGAGCGAGCTCGGAATGGGATGGATAAACAATACTTCTTTAAAAAAATGTGGAAGTGCATTCATGCTAATTTTTGAATAAGCCTATCCACTATTTATGAGGTTTATTAATCTAATACTAAGTATTTTTTATTGTCAGAAACTATGTTGGTACAACAATATATGCTTATGTCTATATAATTCATAATTTTCTGTCAAAATATATGTATTATGTAGACATATTGATTACTTGCTATACAAAAAAAGCAAATGCCTGTGAGTGAGTAAGATGATTATTTTTTGATATATATATATGCACAAGAACCAGGACTTTTAAATGTAATTAAATACTTGTTGGTAACGTAGTATACAGTATTTTTCTATAAATATTTGTACAAGTAAATCCGGCAGATCTTGAAATCAAATGTAATGAAAGATGGATAAACACATTAAGTTAAATAAAATCTGATAAACCTTATGTTGGGGAAATAAAAATTCATAAATTAATCTACGTCGATATGTTTTATGATACAGAAAAAAGACATTTTTCTGTAAATAAAACAACCAAGATAAGGAGATTTTTAGCCAACTAAAAATACGATGATCTACAATTTCAGATGCTCCGAAACAACAATGAAGGGGGTGAAGTTCGTTCGGCAATGATCCAGAGGGAACTGGACTCTCTTCAGGCTAAAGTGCAATTCATTAAACAGCATGTCAAAGTCGCATCATTTGATAATGATACACCTAAGAGTATTGATTGATAATTTCAATGACCTCTTGCTATTTGTCAGTTCCGATGCAGGTTTGAGCAGTGTTAGGACTCTTGTATTCAATTAGCAAATGCGTTGCTGATTCATGTTATCTTATGCTTAAAGGGTAAACGATAATAAACGAACGCTTTTAATTAACAACAAGCGTGTTCCAATTACCTATTTAACAACAAGGTGCAAACGTTTTCACAAGCGTTCCTGAACTAATAGAACCCGGGCATAATCAAACAACGGTCGTCTTTTGTGAGCTTTTCGATATTGTCTTATATACTATTTGTCTAATAAATCGTTTTATCTTCTCTCAGCTTTTGTACCGCAGGCATTGGCACCCTCACTTTGATAATGCCACCATTCGAAAAGAATCGTCCCGCGGCATGTATGATAAACGAAATTGATTTTAATTTAGCGGCTGGTAGAATAGCTACTTCAGAGAACTTTCACCAGTGCTAATACAATTTAGCTCATGTGAACATTCCTAAAGCATAATAGAGGACGCAGAGGAAATAATTTTCACAAGAATCGACTAAAAATGCCGTTTTATCAAGAACCCTGTAAAGTCCTTTTGTACAGTTCTGCGCAAATATTTTAAAGAACTAAGCCCGTGCCTGTTGTCTTGCTTTTGGAGCATTCACAGAGGGTCCGTCGGAAAAAGTCGTAAGTGCGGTAGGTGACCGCTTTCCTTTTAGTTTCTTTAAAACGTTTTTCTTGCAGAAGCTTGTTCAGTAACTCCTTGCGGCCGAAACTAGGTGAGTTAGACTGTGTGTAGTTCGACCGAGACGGCACCACTTGTCTTGCTGCTTTACATCGCTGAGGTTATTTAAAGTGAGGCTTAATAAACATACTATTTTCCAAAGGATACTCGTATTTCCGATCTGCTTCGTTCATTCTGTTGAGAAGCTAAACAAAACTGCCTGACATGATATTTTGTTGAAAGTGTCCGATTGATGTAAAAAAAATCCCCAAGAGTGTATTTTTTGTTTTTAGCTTGTAAAGAAAGCACTGTTCTGATTGACTCAGTGTTCAAAACGTAAGATAAAATTTGCTGCTTTTAGTACAATATTGATACTGTGTGTGTTCGGCAAATTCGTCTGCAGTTTGAAATAGCTAAATGCAGAATGCACAACGCTGTAATAAGTACTTGCTTTCTTTGAACCCATTGATGTTTACGCGTTGCTTTGAAAGTTTACAGAACATCTCAAAGTAAGGGAGCCTTTTTATCGATGTTATTTTACCGATGTTTTTCAGATTTACACATCTTATTAACCTCGTTAAGATCACTATATCTTGCCGAGAAATTAACGAAACTGGTTTATGAACAAAAGTTCAAATATTTCTATGAAAACCTAGTAAAGCCTTAGCTTGTAACGTAATAGACTCGTGCCGAGTATGTTTTTCCCTTAGTTTTCGTTGAAATATAGAGCCCATAATTTTGCCAGACGTTTCCTTCGCCATGAGACGCTGAAAGTTCCCTTGCCCGTTCCAATGACTTTCCCGGTTGGATTGTCCGGCAGCTGATTTTCAGTGAAGTAACACAGTCGTTCAATCACGCCTATTCAGAATTGTTTTTCTGTTCGGAAAGACACCGATCAAATAAGACGCGCGATTCAGTAAAACGATTTGCGAGTTTACTTTGTTACTGTAATAGTTCACTAAAGTGACAGCGTGTTTTGCCAGTCCGGTTTAAATTAGGCTAGAGACAAAATAACAGCTTAACTTTAGAAGAGCTGTAATCGTAATCTTCAATTCTTTTCGTAGTATTTCAAATTGGAAATCCACAAAACACGATGGCCAGCAATAAAATAATATCATAAACTGAAAAATTGTATGACGTTCGCGGTACCAATATACAACGATAACTACAGAGATGAATTGATTGATGTGATGGAACAAAATTAATTTCGCTCGAGTCTGTCGACTGGCCAGACAATAGCGGACGCGCTATGGGATCGAATGGGATGAGTTAAATGTAATCAGCACAACTTTATTGTAATACCCCAAAAAGTTTCTATATCCTGACATATAATGTGCACAATACCGGATTAATCAACGTAAAAACAGCTAGGCGTGGAATATGACCAGCTACAAGCGATCAATTATTATTCAGTAGTTACTTGCACTGGATTATTCTATCTCAATTAAAGATAACGTTACAACGAAACACCACAGATGATATTACAAACTTCAACTGGCAAAAGGCAGTGATGATAGATGCTTGTGAAAAACGAAGGAGATACGAAGTCTTTGACGAACTCTCGCTGGACGAAGTTAGCTACATAGGCTTCAAGGATTTCGATTCGTCAAAACTGAAGGATCAAACCGAAAGATCAGGAAACGTCGGACTTTCTAACACATCTCTGCTGAATTTCTGTGAATGTATTCTGACGATGTATTCAGGCGGGCAAAAATGCATGCGGCTTTTTCCTGTGTCCTGTTAAAGCGGTCGGGATCAGTTCCTTGCACGGAGTCGGGACTTGCTTCTACCCTAATTTCCTGACCCCTTATTGGCATCTTCGGCTGCTGGAGCCTGACAGGCAGCGTTAGGCTGCCTGAAGTCTACTAGAATTCATCTAATCCTATGTGAGTATGCGTTATATTTATTATATTGTGACAACTGTGAACTAACAGTATAAATATGACCAAGCCGTTTCGTTGCACAGTTCCTAGATTCAACAATAGCAACTTTTGTGGTTTGTTGACAGTTAGTTAGCTCAATAAGGAGCCAATCGCAACGAAGTGTAACAACGGTAAACAGGACATAGCTGAGATAGTTTTATGCTAATGAATTTCATGAAAATGGCCATTATGGCAAGGCTTTGCTCGCAGCGCCGAACGTGACGCTGATCGCGTGTAGCCACATAATGTAACCATGGATTTTTACTAGAGAAACATGATGATAGTTTGATAGATCGCAAGAAGTCGGCTTCAAAGCTCAATCGTCTTTCATCTAAGATTTTCACTTGTTATTGGTTTTTTGGTTTGTCTCGTTTTGCACCCGCTATACATCAGCTAGGAATTTTCCAGTTGAACTTAATCAAATTTAGACTGCGTTTAGGTCGACATTTAAGTTTGAACACCTTCATTTTGCCAATAAATGTGAAATATATTTTAATCCCATGTTTCACCAATTTAATATTAGCAATATTAAATTGCTGCCGCGACTCAGCCGCGGATATGGAGCGATGCGTATATCCTGCCCAATACAAGCTTTGAACGTTCAGAAAAGCGAAAATACCTAAAAACCTGCTTTTTTACGCATTTTTATTCGTTTACACACGCCCTTTTGACATTTATACCAAAACCCCAAAAAACAATTCCTTCCGTGAAAGTGTCTGTCCATTGTTTAAAGTAGTGTATCATTTGTCACCTACTGCTTTTAACGTGTCTTTTTTTTTGTTCGCAATCATGCTGGCGATCACGCTGGCACCATTGCATTTATTATTCGATGTTTCCATGGCTATCTATTGGAAGTCCTTTATCTGTTTGACTACTGCTTGTTATAACAATATATTTGCCTGGAGCGCATTATTATGCATATATCTGCTAATACATTAAATGTTATAGGTAGGGAGACTCGATGGTAGCAGTGCCCACAATAATAGAGATCTAGAGACACAAAACCAAAAGCTGCTTTCCGT